CCTCCTCCCTAGGTCTGTTGATAACCCTAGGATTTAGGGCATTATTGTCATTTTCAGAGCATTGCATCTTTCGAAACACGTAAGGGTAAGTTACCCCCTAGTAGTAAGGTCTGCCTTGATTTTAGTTAGCAGTCGGACGAAGTTCGCCTGGTAGAGTTGGTTAATATTAGCCGTTAAGTATGTAACCAGGTCTTTGATTTTGTCCCAGCCCACTTGAAGGGAAAGTTAGGTTGGATTTCCATGCAATAGAATGGGGCATGAAGATATTTAATTTCTTTTAGGTTTTAGAGAGGCCTCTTAGGGCATCAGTGGAAGGCTGATATCTTGAGGCTGACCAATGTGATACACAGCATGTGTTTTTAGTCCCATGGTCAGAGTCGACCTGTGAAAGGCACCTCTGGGTAGATCAGGAGGATGAAAGTATCCAATATAATAACATAGTAACATAGTATGTAAGGTTGAATAAAGACACAGGTCCATCCAGTTCAACCTATGTTGAAACTCATCTGAATGTTTCTTGAATTTATTATCGCTACAAGGGGGCAATGGGGGGCAATTTCCCCCCTTTCTAGGTTGTTCCTACCCCCCCATTGTGCTCCCCCCGCTGATTCCCCTTTAAAACGTCCGCTGCCACCGCTAATGCAGAGCCTATCTTCTTTGACAGCTCTGCCGACCTGAATCTCCCCCCGCCCACCTCAGCTGCTATTGGCTGGGAGGGAGAGTGCAGCACTGCCATTGGCTGCCTGTGTACTTCAGCAGAGCGGGACCTGCAGAGGAAAATAAGTACATCAAGGCTGCTTGGGGATTTTCCTTCAGGAAACATCTTTGCTCCCCCCACTACACGGAGAGGAAGAAGAGGGCATGAGGACAGAGAACATTAATTTCTGCATTACATCCACCTCTGACCTCGCACTCTGCGTTACACGCACCTCTGACCTCGCACTCTGCGTTACACGCACCTCTTACCTCGCACTCTGCGTTACACACACCTCTGACCTCGCACTCTGCATTACACGCACCTCTGACCTCGCACTCTGCGTTACACGCACCTCTGACCTCACACTCTGCATTACACGCACTGCTGACCTCCGCACTCTGCGTTACACACACCGTTGACCTCACACTCTGTGTTACACGCACCGTTGACTTCCGCACTCTGTGTTACACGCGCCTCTGACCTCGCACTCTGCGTTAAACGCACCACTGACCTCGCACTCTGCGTTACATTACTGACCTCCACACCCTGCATTAAATTACTAACCTCCATACTATGTGTTATACATCCGCACCCTGTGTTACACCGCTGACCTCTGTACTCTGCGTTATAACTGACCTCCGCCCCAATACTAAAAACAGATGTCGGTACTTAACTTTTTAAAATTGACTCGGATGTCTTAGGTCCAGCGCTTGCTGGGACCTTGCGGCAGCCTTCTGGGCAGCCATGTAATGCCTGCTCACAGCGCTTCTGCCACCCGCACATCTCCCCTTAATAAAGACCCTCAACACACTCTGCCCAAAACATCAGGTCGGCACCCCGGAGTAGAGTGGCAGCACAGAGTATATAGCAAATTTATATACTATTGTTCTGCGACGCTCTATGTTTTGCTGGGATTTGTAGTCCTCTATAGCTGGTGGTATTCTGCATTGCTATATAACATCAGCGGTTTCTCCCTACAGGCTGTAGCAATCTGTGTCAGTGGGGACAGATTGACGATTACAGCCTGTAAGGAGAACCCTCCGACAGTCTGTGAGCTCCCCCCCTTGCAGTCTACGCACCTCTCCGCAGCGTCTGTGATCGTCTTCATTCCAGCAGCTGACCGCAATAGCCAGCCTGCTATTGGCTCTTTTAAATTGCAGTGGCCAATAACAGGCTGGCTATTGCACCTGCCCACTGCCAGCTGTCAATCAACAGAGGTGGACCTGGTAGAAAACTTCAGGTCCCTCCTCTGCTGATTGACAGTAGCCTGTTATTGGCTATTGCAATTTGAAATATCCAATAGCAGGCTGGCTATTGCTCTCAGCAATGAAGTAAAAAAAGAAAAGTTTAAAAAAATAAAATAAACTAAGATTTTAAAAAGTTAAAAAAATAAAGTTAAATTAATAAGAAGTAAAAAATATGTAAAAAAAAAATAAAGTGAAATAAATAAAAATGTAAAAAAAGTGAAACAAATAAAAAAAATAAAGTTAAATAAATAAAAGGTAAAAATTAAAAAAAATTAAGTTTAATAAAAAAAATACAAAAAAAGTTTTTGAAAAATAAATGGTTGCGGTATTCAGGATTGTGGGCGGCATTGGACTACGTGTCGGAACAGCAGGGCGCAGATGCCATCCGCAATTAAATCAGCTCTCGGCGCCCTGCGGTTGCGACATGCAATGAAAATTATTAGTGCCCCCCCCCAGATTTGACTGTGGTATCTTATGTGCCCCCCCTATATATTGTCCCTAGAGTCACCACCGCTCACATGAGAGTCAATTAGAAGTGAGGAGCCAAGGTTATTGAGGGTTGTAGTAATTACTTATGACCAACTAAGTGGGTGGACTGTGGGTCTCCTTGGCAAGGGTAGATGGTCACAGAGTGTCTCTCAGTCTGTGGCTAATGTCTAAAGTGGCACCCACCAGGACAATAATATGAAGGATGTCAGGGTAGGCCTGGGCATCTGGTTATAATAAAGTGTGCCCAGAGTTCTACCAAAAAGAAGAAAAAACCCTTGGAGCTTAGTGGGAAAAAGTCAAAGCTTACATATTTCAGGAATGGGAAGTAGAAATGTCCTGGGCAGATACAGTAGTAAGTAGATGTCAACTGTGATGTAGCTCTGTGGAGCAGGTGTAGCATGAAGAGGAGGCAAGGTTAGTCCTCGTTGGATGTAGGGTTCTGGCATTCACACCATTTAGACTGTGTTCTGGATCTCCATCTGCTCTTTGATGGTGTAGAAGCACACATGACATCAAACATCCCAGGGTAGGCATAGGTTGGGATAAATTGCACCATGCACACAGCCTTTTTGAGAATTCTACATACAATGTACAGAAAATATTTTTTTATTCTTCTTTAATTTAAAATACTGCATCCAGACAGCAATGTTCAGTGGATACATTTAGCATTTATTGAATAGACTAGACTGTACAACACAGACACTGCTACAAACATGGTTTAAGAAAACAGTGCACCATGAACATTATAAATTAAACCCATATTTAACATTTTATCAAAAACTTATTTTAGAGTATAACTCCACTCCAAACTAATTGTTTGGAAGGTTTGTGATCTCTGTTGGGTCTAGTTGTACTGATGTCTGTGTCCTTGTTGGGCAAGGCCTAACACTCAGTAGGACTAGTAGTGAGGGAAGATTTCTCCACAGGGGCACAGACAGCAATAAAATATCTTTAAGCAGGATATGGAAATGTTGGAGCTTTTATAAGATTTATATTGCTGTCTGTGTTCAAATTGAGGAGGTTGCCAGTTCTAACCTCCCACAATCTAAAATGTTTGGCTGGAGTTTAAACTATCTTATACATTCCTTTAAATTGGCATAATAAACAAGAAAACTGTCGCACTTGCTGTAGGAAACAATTTTAGGTAGGATCATTTGTTGCCTCTTAGTAAATGACTTGGGGTTGGAATGGGTTACAACTTTTCTGCTGAGAATAGCCATGTATGTAAGAACTGAAGTAAAATTTGGCTGCCAGGAGTGAAGAAAAATACTGTACATGCTACTTCTAGCTATGAGGAGCATACGCCTTTCCTTGTATGTGACTGGACTGATGCTTGGCGATTGGTTGTTCAGACGCCCAGTCCTGTCACATGATCACTGAAAGAGATCCCTTAGCCCTGTAAAAGTCACAATTTGGAGCCTACATTGGGTTAATACTCCTTTGCTCACAGAGGGTGAAGGGAGCAGTTGTGAGGCAAAAGAAATGTAAAAATATATGGCTGGTGGGGACAGCATTGAAGCAAATTGGTTGCATTGCCCACGCATGGGCATTTTTTAAATGCTTACTATACACAAATTTCAAAACATCATTTTGACAGCAACGACAGAGAAAATGTTTGCCATTTATTCCAAGAAATGACATTTTTACCAATAATTTATAAGTAGGAATGCATACTTATGCACACTTTTATTATAACTTGTGCATTTTGATTAAGGTGGGCTTTGAAAATCAAAACAAAATAAGTCCCATTTATCCTGCAACATAATTTCCTGTCACTGTGCCCGTTATACAGGACATATTTTTTCCATTACATTCATGTATGGCATAGTGTCAATAAAAATGTACAACAGATTGTGGAGCAAATCACCATGAAGGATGGTTCATAAGCATATTGCTTATAGCTGATGTTTAATGAAGTTTACACTTTAGAATTAATATACTGACAGTGTGGAAAACAAAGATTTAAAGAGCAAGGGATTACCTTGTATGAAATGAGAAAGAGAGAGATAGGGGACTGAAAAAGTGGCAGACAGAGGTGGAGAGAGGAAGCAAGTGACAGGCAGATATGAAGCAAGAGAGAGAAAGAGAGATGAAGCATGAGAAAGAAGAAGCAAGGGAGAAATGATAAAGTGATAGAGAGAAAGGAAGCAAGAGAAAGGGAGATATGAAGCAAGAGAAAGAGAGATGGAGCAAGACAGAAAGATGAAGAGATGGTGAGATATTAAGAAAAAAAGAGATGAAGAGAGAGAGAAATCAAACGTATCAGAGTGGAGAGGAAGGAAGAGAGTAATGGAGGGAGGAGAGCAAGACAGGAATAAAGAAAAAAAGAGCAACAGAAAGAAGTTAAAGAAAGCGGAAGGAAAGAGAGGGTAAGGAAAAAAAAAAGAAAAAGAAACGTCATTTTGTTCCTGCTCTTGAGAGGTGTTGCAGACATCTGTAAAGCCCATCAGGATCTGAATATGATTGAATATGCATCTGCCTATAAGGAAGGAAAGAAAAGAAAGACAGATTGAAAGCATAGAATTGAAAAGGAAGGAAAGACTGGAAGGAAGGAAGGAAAGCAACGAAAGGAGGAGAGAATGGGAGGGATAAAAAGAAAAAAATATAATTAATAACATCTGTCATTTCTTTCCTGCTCTTGAGGGGCTTTGAAGACATCTGTAATGCCCCCAGGAGCTGCCTATGATTGATGATGCTTCTGCCAATAAAATGAATAGCAGATGGATTGTGGTGTGAGGCAGCAGTTTACTCCTGAATTGAATGTACTTCCTGAATACAGTATGTGCACTGACTTTACACGCTTACACACCGTGGCATTTTCAAAAAACAAAGCTTCTTTGGTCATGTTTTGTTCTTATTTATTGCCAGCCTGGAGTTCTTTGTCACTGTTCTTGGATACAATGCATTGTGCGCCTATGCTGTGTGACTATATTCTTCAGCTCCATTACTGTATGCATCCAGGTCCTCGCTGTGTGTTATGTGTAACTCCCAGGAGAAGAAGTTTTCTTTGTAAGTCTTCCTCTTTCCTCTTGTGTAAAGAAGCTCTATGTCATTGTTGTCTAACAGGCGAATCAGGTCACCATCTGCATCTTTTATATTCAGGGCCACATCATTCCCAGGGAACTGAGTTCTGATAGAAAGCAGAATTAAATATATGATTACATAGACAAAAAAAAACAAACACTGACACTATTTCAGACTTTTTTGTTTTCATTTTCTTTACCTCCAACAGAAAAACGTTAAAGTAAGAAGGCAGGGCACAGGGGGTGATAAAGGATCAAACCAAGCCTCAGATCTTCCCAGGCACCCTTGTCCTAATAGTAAACAGTCATTTGTTTACAAAGTGTAAGTCTGCTTAGCATGCCATCTTAAAGTAGAAAAGTAGAACTGAAGCCCAAACTTTCCTTTTCAGTTTTGGATAAAGAAATAAAGTAGCATAACCCCTGTCAGCTGGTTTTGCCATCTGTGTCCCATTGGGGAGATTTCTCTTCACGTCTTGTCCAATAGCCACACAGAATAGGAGAGGAAATCCCTCCAAAGTGAGGAAAACCCCTGGTGGTACATAGGGTCACCAGAACTAGTGTCCCAATTGGAATATTTCTCATCTATTCCCGTTCTGGTGAAAACTCAAACTATGGGATTTTCTTTTACCTCTGATATTAGTGATAACATTCACCAGGAAACTGGGAGGATGCATCTCCCTTGCGGTATTGATGGTAATTAGTGGTAATTGTATACATATCTTATACATTCTTGTACATGTCTCATGACCTGCCTATAGGTGCCTTTCTACATGTGTGGCGTTTTACATGACGAGTTGATGCTAAAACTTGTCATTTATGAATGAATTACTGCCGAGCAGTAATTAGCGGTAATGGCCTGTTTCTACACCCAACCCACAATACTGTTTAAAACTGACCAATTACCCTTGGGTACACTAGGCTTGAGAAAAAATGTATCACCTTGTAAACCCAGTGAAGCTTTGGCCTAGGAAGTGGGAGGAACTCTACCTCCTCCCAGGTGCTAGACACCACAACCTGGCCAAGGTGTCAAGCAGTTCTAGTGGGGCGAGGACCGCATTCCGGATGTGGTATAGTGCTAACACCCAACCGCTGACCACGGCAGCAAGGTTCCTGGACTGGATTTGAGAGTCATCCCTGGGTCTGGTCTACAGATAACCAATTTTATGTTTTACACTTTAGTGTTGACTAGTATTTAGTGTAATTAAAGTAACTTGCTGCACTTTGCTGGTGCGCTCTTTGCCCTTTTTAAGATGTTTGTTTACTCTTCATTCATTTCATTATTAGTTTTATTATATTTATTATTTTTAATTGCTTGAATAAGACCTTACAGTACAGAATACAGTCTGGAAGCCCTTCCCCTTTAAAAATCCCCCTATGTTACTAAGTGCAAAATGGACCTGTAAAGAAAAAAAGTTTGGTTTTACCTACTTACTGTGCATAGGCCTCACTACAGGGTGGCAATTGCCCCCCCCCCAGGTTATGAATTGACCCCCCCCCTCCGTGTGCGATCTTTCTTTTTTATCACCTCTCCGCCGAAAGAAAATACATTCGGATACCCGTGCTGCCTGCCCGCTTCACTCCTCTCTGCCGAAAGAAAATACATTCGGATACCCGTGCTGCCTGCCCGCTTCATTACTCTCATATTTTGTAATCCCATTTATATATACTTATTTAGTTTTTTTCAGTGGTATGATTTAGGGGGGGAAATTATTAGTGCCCCCCGGGTTTTGACTGGTATCTTATGTGCCCCCCATATATTGTTCCTAGAGTCGCCACTGTTACTGTTACTAGAACCATTGTAGGACCACCACACACACCGTGACCCTTCTCCTTCTGGCCTTGTCAAAACCTCCAGTCTATGCAGTCTGTATAATAGGGTATATCTAGTCTGACAGCTACGTATGCAATGGAAAATATCTGATTTCTGGTTTCGCCTAATAAACCTTTGTAATTATTTTTAACCATTTGTGATTTAAACATCCTGCAATATTATACAGCTATATGGTCATGGTATATTAGATGGCTAAGTGGTCAAATGAAGGTGACATGATTTGCTGGAGTCTGAAGCTCTTTATCTTTCTCTATCAATACTCCACCTCCAACCATCTACACAGCTTGTACTCTTCATGCCACATGCTACAGTTCTTGGTGAATGACTTATTGTACAGGCCATTAACTCTCTTAGCCTAGCATCTGAAGTGCAAGGAATAATGTACTTAAAGTGTACAGTATGTAAACCCTAACAATTATCTACTCTCTCATTTGCTCCCTTCTGGTCTCTTAAGTATAGTTTTACCCAATAACTTACCTGTAAATAAAGGGTGGATATACTTACCCTTCTGGCGGCCCATGTATTGAAAAGCCACAGCTTCTCCGCTCCCCTGCCGCTGTATGTATTGTACACTTCTAGTTGTGTAGAATACTTGTTCTGCCACCAGACAATAAAGTTGTTTCCTCTGACTCGTACATCATTACAAAACATATGAGTTGACAGGAGAAATCACAGTGGATGGCAGTGGAAGCAAGTAGTTGCCCAACTGGCCAGTCAAATACTTGCAGTGGCTGAGCAGAGGAGAGGTGGTGTCTTTATACTACTTGGTACACCTAATAGCTAAGTATATCCACACTTTTTTTTAACAGTGAGCATTTGGGTAAATGTGACCCTGTGGTAACAAGGTAAGAGTACTGGATCCTTGTGCAAACAGATCCAGATTGAGGAGCAGCGTGCCTTGCTACTGATCTTTCTTTTTTTTAACTCAAAATTTTAATGAATTGCACTTACACACCTCTGCTTTTTATTCTAGTTATGCATTACTTTAAAAAATCATTAAATGCATATGTAGCAGTCACTCCCGAACGAGCTGCTGGAATAAACAGGTTTTCCTAGCCTGTCTAGGGATTTTAGTAGCATGGCTGCCCCAATAGCACTTACCAGCCCTTCTGTGGCGACCGATAAAACTGAGCTCCAGACTGAAGATATGATGCCGGAAACTTTATTGTAGAACTGGGCGAGGTTTAGGACACATGACACCCAGGTTAGTATAGTAAATAAATTGAAGAGCAGAGTACTTGCAACCAAACTACTAGTCCATTCAGGAACAGACTTTAAGATTGCAGCAGAGGATCACTTTACAGGCTTCTGGTGAAGTTGCTCTCTGACATCTTCATCCTCAGTTCCAACCACTGGGCCCCAGGCTCAGGCCTCAGTGTGAGCACATGGCATGGCACCCTAGGCTTCAGGCCTAGTCAGATCAGACAGTCCATAGCAGCCTCCACCCTGGCAAGAGCCCCGGGAGAAAGAGAGCCTCACATGGTTCGCCCTGAATATTTATGTCCTCTCCCAGCCTGCCTCACCGGCCATGAACCTCCTAGTGAGGCCAGGGAGACATATATATTTATAACACTCTATTATTGATTGCTCAGCTCTGTGGCAAGGATAAATCTAGCAGCAGGGAGATGCAAACGATAACAGATTGCTTAGGGGAAACCAAATGAGCATAGACTATTAGATCAGTATCAGACTGAATACAATCTGCCAGCAACTAGATTTAAATAAGCACTCCTGTTTTGACAGGGGCACTACACATGTTAAATGGTACCATTAGAATTACCCTAAATGGAAATAATAATGGTTTTGGGTCATTTGTATTTAAGATATTTTTGTACAATTGGTATATAATATTTTGTTTTGTGAATACTGTCCCATGACAGGATCTGCAGGGCATTCTGGGTTTTCTAATAAAAGGGCACAACAGAAGCTCGGTGATTTTGGGCACAATTTCTGACTGAAACTTTGTACATAGTCGTCTGTACAAGGCAGGAGGAAGGGGGAGAGAGGGACATAATGCTCAGACTCATTCAGCAAATTTCAGCAAAACTGTTAGGACTCAGAGTTGGAAGACACATGAAAAGGAGCCCATAGTGCCACATGCTGGCTGAAAATGAACATACTACATTTTTATATGCACTGTTTTTTATATTTACCTGAATAAAAAACAAATCTACTTTTTTGTAGTCCTGACGATTACAAATATATAAAATATATGCCAAAAGTCACCGTCACCCAAAAAAATATAAAAGTGTAATTTTGCTGTAAAGAAATCACTCAACCACCTTCTTAAGCTTGTCCCTAAAATCTCTAGATCTGAGGCAAATTCATACTCTAGTGCTCCCACAGTGTTCTTCATCTTCTACCTTCAGAAAATCACAATCCCCATAATTGATGCACTGTCCTATGGACAATATGATGGATAATGCCAATTGTCACCGACAGGGCTTCTGTCTCTAAACCACTTTATGGTGGTTGACGTTAAGGCATATAAAACATTAACACAAAAGGTCATTGCATTTTATTAAAATTAGGGATGCACAGATACTTTTCAAGTACCAGTGCAGATACTTGGCATTTTCATGAGAACTACCAGGGTTGCAGCGGTTGCAGCTGGGACCTGGCTCTGGCACTCCACCACTGTCCTGAAATCATTAGTCTGTATTGTTTTAGTCACATGACAATACACAAAAATGTATCAGTACTCGTACTTGTAAGTACTTGGCAAGTACCAGTACTCATACTCGCAAAACTGGTATCTGTGCATCCCTTTATTTATATTAATAAAAACAAAATCGTACATTAAAACAGAGATGTACAAATCCCAGGAGTTCCGTGTGCTTCTTACAAATGACAGCTGCCTCCTAACTGTTGGATTTTTCTCTAGTGTAGTCCTGGAGCTCAAAAATATCGGTACATGTACTCGTACTTCTACCGAGTACTGCACTTGGTATCTGTGCAACCCTAAATAAAATTCTGTCTTTTAAAATGATACACAATGCACTCCGTTTAAAAAGTTCTCCAATCACCATGCTCATCACAGTGAGTATGACAAATAGCCTAATCTACCATATCCAACCACTAAAGTTACGGTTGCTTCCACTGATAACCGCAAAACCTCAAGCTTGCCTTGGCATGCGTGACAGTTACGTGAGGCTGGATGCTGCTTAGTCCCGCCCTTAGTGTTCTGGCCTTTGACTTTGTGAAGTGCCTGACCCCTCTGACTCAATGACACTCATCTCTTCAGCGCTCGCCCGCTACTTCTACCTCTGTCACTGCCGGTGTAAATTGCTAGGTGCTTCTGGGTATGGGAGAGCATGTGACCACTTCCCATGATGCAGTGCTCTGGTGATCATACGCTAAGCCTAAGTAGTGTCACATGGTGAAGGTCAAGCTCCCTCTAGGCTCCTACATCAGCTAAAACTGGCTGCTATGGAAGAAATGTGGCGGGGGCATCGCTGGAGAGTGTCGGTGAATCGGAGGGGCTTTTAAACAGATAGTCACTTTGGGAGTTAAAACCTCTGTCAGGATTTAAAACCATGTGTATCCCCACTAAGAACATTTGCACTCAATTCTTGTTCTCCCTGACACCTGTCTCATGGACAGGAAGTGATGCCAGAACTCCCCAATGGTGGTGCAGAGAATAATAATTAAAAAAAAAAAAGCTGTTTTTATTGCTGTCGGTGTCTCCTGTTAAAAGACAAGAAGTGAAAAGAAATATCCAACATGTGGACACAGACCAGAATAAAGCTTTGCCAGCAGATTTTATTTAATCTTTTTCTAATGTTTCTATAACCAAGAAAGTAATAATATTTGCTGGAACTGTATGACATATGGAATGCACCTTGGCAAGCAAAGGATTAATGCACCCGTGAAAATGTGAATATATGTAGAAAGCTATAGCACAAAACATAAGACCTTTAGTTTCCTTTTGTGGTGATTTACACATACATTTTCCTTTTTTAGTTGACAGGTCCTCTTTAATGGCACTGCTGATTAATTATTCAGTATTTCTGAATATTTCAAGACACATAGCAGGCCAAAGTTTATAATATCCAGTTGGTATTGATTCAGTTCCTTGCTAAAAATACCAATGCAGCAAACCTCTGCCTTGTGCAGGAAGACAGCCTTTTAAAGCAGTGACCTTTTTCAACTATCGGAAATGCCCCTTTCCAGTAATAATGTCTGCACTGAACCAAACTACCAATTAAAGCCCACAGCCAATCTGATGGCAGCCAAGCTTTTCTTAAACACAATCAATGTAAAGGTCTCATTACTCTGGGTTTATTAAACAACTCTTCTGAATAACCTAAGGTTGGATTTTACCTTATTAGCTCCAACAGCTCCTTGTAAGTGGGAAGATTCTTCACATCTTCTTCTAAGGAGATATCTCTATGAAAGAAAGAAATGCATAAGTAATGTCTTTACCATTGCTGAGATGTGGAAGGTCATTGGTGCATCACCCCTTACTATAGTTACCTGATGTGACACCTGTCATAATCATGAAAATAGCAACGTAGCCAGCTCACTGGAAACTTCTCTTCAGGTAGGTCTTTGATGATTCTCACAAAGGATTGTGGGAAAATACCTACTCGATCAGCCACGGATCCCTGGTAACCAGAAAATGGTTTTATGAATGATGTATATGATACGAGGTATATGAGCACACCATTATTATCTAATATATAATTATTATACAAAGTTGTGTCTACCAGCTATGATTAGCCATAGCTGAGCAAAAGATTGCTAGAAAGGATGTAGTGCCAGGACCCTATTTTCTTATCCAATGGAATGAAGCAGCACGTGCAGGGCCGGATTCACCACAAGGCCGGCCACCGAGGCCATGGCCTTGAGGCGGCATGGAGTAGAGGGGCGGCACAGCCCATGGACATTCATAAAAAGTTAGCAAGTTAGTCAGGCAGGAACGGTCTTTCCTGAACCAATGCTGATTGTCATTAACTATGCCCTTATCCTTAACAAATTTTACCAAATAGTCCTTAATTATACCTTCTAACAGTTTACAAACTACCGATGTTAGACTGACCGGCCTATAGTTCCCTGGTTGGCATCTAGCCTTCAGGGAACTTATAACTTCAGGGAGTGTGAAATCAAGCCACAGATAGAAATATAAATCACGGTATAAGTGGGGATGGATGCAGTACATAAGGATGATGTTGCCCCCACTCTCTCTTACCTTTCTTTCCGAACCTTGTGTAACTTTCTCGCCTGAACCACCTACAAACAACCCGGTGTGTTCGGCATAACCCATGTCTGTGCTCTCTGATTGGCCACCCCCAAGTTTTCCATTTTCATGGCAACCACTTCCTTTAGTAGTGCCAGAGCTCTTTACAATGGCTTCAAGTACCCAGCAATGGCTACCTGTATGCTTCATTAAACACTGCCAGCGCTAAAGCAAGGAGTAGAGGGCCCGGCACTTTCGGATAAGAGCCCTTCTCACTGACAGTGCTATACCTGCGGCGTTAAGATCTTTAATCACCACAAAGCTGGAGGTGATACACATGGATTTATTTAATAGGCAGCTACTTGCTTACTGAGAGCTGAACTATCTCCATTTGGATTAAGGTCTTTTTTCTGAACCTTGTATGTATGTCATTGGTAAACAACGAGAATGGTGGTGGTGCTGAATGGGGGGGGGGGGGTGGGGGAACCTGACCCTGGAGCAGCCGGGAGAGTACATCTGTCCCTGAGCATGGTAAAGGCTTTCTTTGTCATTCAGAAAGAGGGACATATCAGCCACGTTACCCAGAAAATGTTCTAACAGGCCAAACAAACAATCAGAATCCAGGAATCGGAATAGCACTTTACTGTATCTTATGATAGCACCATGAGGACGTATATCATATTAGCTATTGGATTGGTGGCTGGATTGACTATGACACCCAGACTAGCAGTAACTGTAATTGTAGCCACACGTGGAAGGAAATTACAGGATATCAATGCTGGCCTTGTAGGGATTCAGTTTAGTGAAGAATTTTGTACAACATACTCATACTTTCTAATGGGGGGTAAACACATGTAAGCAACCTCATTAGGTACTGCCTTTATTTAATAATGGGGTATCTAATGACACATTGTGATGTGCATGGTTGACGAAGGGACTGCCTAAAGATCTGGTTGTTTGGCTCATAGTAAATCAGATCCACCCATGACTCAACTAGATATTTATATATATCGTAGACACATATGAAAATATAAGGCCAACAGAGAGGTGCCTACATAAAATTGGCACAAGGTGAGGGAAATGGCAGAGCTCTGGTGATGTTAATTTTTTGAAAATGTACATTTATGAACTGATGAACTACATCCTTAATAATATTTAGAAAAAGTCCCACTTTTGTTTTGCTACTGAGGGAACTAAAAAAAGGCACACATAAGACAGGGGGGAACAGAAACAAAGGTACACCTAACACTGTACCTCTGTTTCCAGGCCCCCAGTGGCAATATGCCAGTTGGACACACAAGACAGCACACAGAACCAGCTCCTGCCGCACACTGTACTCTAGACTCTGCATGCCCCTCCTCCTACAATTTCACCCCTTCTTCTAAACCTCCTTATCACCCCCCTCACACAAATACTTCCTGACATCTCACCTTCTCCCGGTATTTACATCCCTCCTGGCAGAACCTCCAAGGCTGGGCAAAATTGCTCCTGTCCCGCCCACACACATCTCTCTCAGAAGCAGACATCAGTGTAAGTTGCCCGGTTCCTGGGCTGCAGTTGGCACTATAGATCAAGCTGCCCCTATGCTCTGCAGCCGGCATGAGAGATCACCCTGCCACTGGGCTCTGCATCCAGCACTTCATGTTAGTCTAATTTTTTTTCTCTGAAACCATATTAAGTTGCTGCCTGCCTACTTCTCCCCCCTCCCCACACACATACAGAAAAACAAAAACTGACACACATTAATATCTGACCACTTCTCACCCAACCCTACACCCTACCCCACCCCACACCCAGCTGACATCACTGTCCACTTACTTAGGTGCCTACCTCCTGTTAATAGGCACCACGCACCAGCCAATTCAACTCCTCTTCCCCACATCTTACACCATTCCCAGGGCACTTTTCACCCCCTAGCTGACAGATATTATTCCATGGTCGCTTTCCACCCTCACCCTTACCTCCCCAACATCTCTCCCTGACCACCCCACAGACACCCCAGCTCAAAGAGATCCTTCCCCAACTGACTCCTTCCACCAACAGACATCCCAACCCTGCTTCTATACACTCCCATCCCTGCTATGAAAGAAAGCCCTCCTCCTGCTGCAAGACATCCCTCCCCGACCACCTTATACCCCACTGCTGACAACAGAGATTTTTATCCAGCCTCCATGCACATCCTCCATTCTGTTGATAGACATCCTTCTTCATCTGCCTCAACTCTCCTCATTCCCCGCAGTGACCATTCTTTCGTGTACCTCTATGCAGTGTCTTGACCCACAGATAACCCACTGCCTCACCCACAGATAACAGTTGTCATTGCCAGTCTGCTTGGCAGCCCACCACCACATCCCTTCTGACAGAGTCAGCATAAAAACCTAAAGCTGCACACACAAAACAATCAGAGTGTGCATACCCTCTGAACTCTTCTTCTGCATTCTGTCAACCTTTATACTGTCCACACTCTCCTCCTGCACACACTGCCCGCTGACATACTTTTTCCCTTCACTATCACTAGCTCTAACACATTGACCCTTTGGCTGCTCACAGCCACTAACTTATGATGAAGTGCTGGGTTAATCGGCTCCTACACCCTATTAGCTGCTGCACAGCTGGCGTCCAGGCTCAATGGCAGGGCATTATAAATTAACTCCAAAATTCAATGACCACAAATTCGATCAAAATTTTAAAAAAAATCTAATTGGATTCAAATTCTGTGGATGCATGCGAATCTTGTGTTCCACATGAATTTAACTTTCAATACTAGTATATATCTGGTATCTGGGGATTCTGAGAAGGCACTAGGAGAACGTAAATTAATAAACAGGTACCTTGCAGTACCTTTAGTATTGGTAGTAACAGATTCCCTTTACGTTTTCTAATAAAAGTTTTCATGGACTCTATTCCATGTAGCTATACAGTCCATGTCTTTTCTCACCTCTAGCCATTCTCTGTTTACTCGACTGAGAAGATATACAAGTTCTCCACTCTTGAAGTTCAATTCTTGAGCAGCATTTCCTTTAAAGTCAAATAAAGCCTGAATGTGACAAACAAGGTAGCAGAAAGTCATTTCCCTGAAGATTCATACAGGCAAAATCAGAGTGACAGTTTGTGTACATAGACCTAAGTAAAAATGTATTTCACAATACCTGTTAATGATCATCATAGGCTCAAAAAGCTAGGACATACCAAACTGTATATTTTAGTTATATCTGGATGACTGTGAATTCAATCACGCACATCATTCATTTATCTTTCGAGGATTCCTCGAGAAAATGCCGTGCAAACAGCATTCAGCCAGCATATGGCTGGTTTCATCAACTTCATATGTTTCTCACCTAGGGAATTTATCCTTTATTTTCTTCTAATAACTTGCTGCTAAAGTTTTTTTAATAATTTTTTCACGATCAAACAAATCTTTCCTTAATTATTACCTATGTTTAATGCAGATTTATGAATTAGTTGTTTTCAGGTGCTCTATTCCTTTGTTCGCAAAGTAGTAAAGAATCATAGCAGATATACTGGGTGCTTCTCAGTATATTCAAACACAATGCCTTGAGCAAAGTCACATCTAACATTGCCTGCCGAGCCAGAAACACAAATTAGCTTGTGACTTTTTATGATTGTCAGTATAATAGGAAAAGTAATGGATAGAGTTTTAAGTTTTAAACATTTTAACTGGCTTTTTCACACAGCACACAGTACAGATTGGGTGTGCTCAGTAGACTATCATACTAGGCCACCAGCAGGTCTTTGGAGAGTGGGAGAAATCTGGAATACCTAGCGGAAACCCATACAAGCACACAGAGCAAAATGCAAGCTCCTTGCAGATGATGTCCTGGCTCAAACTGAAGGCCCCAGTGCTGCAAGGCAGAGGTACTAACCACCAAGCCACTGTACAGCCCCATTTCTATACAAGAATTAATATATACGTAAGCCAATTCATCCACACCTCTGCTCTGGGTCGCTCCATTTCTGAAATATGTTGGGAGTTTTTCTTACTGTTGAGAAACAAATACAAATTATGAGTTGGTCCACATTGCTACCTGATTCTGTTCAGGATATATTGAGCTTTAAGCAATACATCTTCCTAAAAATGTCATGCCCCATGCTTTGAGCACAGTGCTGTAAGAAAAAATGTAAAATAGGGATTGAAGATTCTGGTAATCCTGACTACAAAGTGTTTATCTATTGCCTTAGTGAAATGAAGAAATGTATTTTAGCGGGTTAAAGTACCTTTACTCGTGAAAAGTCCCGAGATCCTCACACCTGCACACCTCAGCCAACATTGAAAGGTGTTAGTTGCGGTCTACAGACCTCCGTTTATCTCTATGGTAAACGGGGGTTATGGTAAATCACGGCATAAATGAAATGGTTTTATACAGTAAGTTCACTCCAGGACTTTTAGTAAAAGGATTTTGGGGTTTTTATATGGTGCTCGAGACCTTTGGCCAGATCTGCCACCTCACTTGAACTGATTTTGGGAGAAGACTAGAGTAGAATGAGAAAGTAAAATAGAGTGATATTTAAGCCTGCTATAGCAACAAAGGGATAAACCCCACTACTATGGCAAAAGAGGGATTTCTTATGATCCCATTGTTATAGTGATGCAGGGATCTGTTGCGTTGTCATAGGGATGGAGAGATTTTCCTCATTGCTCTGGCAACAGAATTATACTGCTACAAGCTCACTCCTGTGATGGACTATAATCTCAATACAAATTTAATAACTAAATATGGGATTGTAGTCCATCATGAGAGTGAGTTTGGAGCGGTGGCTACTTTAAAACACACACGGAGACCATGGGGAACAAAAGTAGCGACCCTCCAGAAGGAAGGACAGCGTCAGCACCAATTCAGAGATGATTTCAGGATCTACAGCTGAGTGATACACAAATAAGATACACTTTTGTTAATAGTTAGTGTACTTGAGTGTATTTTTAAGATTTAACTCCTGAGTTTAGTGTCACTTTATCTCATTGAGGGCTTTATGTTTTAGTATGCATACACGAAAGGTTCGTTCACACAATTGCGTTGCAGTACCGTACTGGTGAGCTTCAGAGCTATTAATTTTGAATGGCACTTCAAGGTGCCTTCATAATGCACCTGCATTGCAGTGAACCACAACAAACATTAACATATTTAAGGAGAGGTTTGTGATTGTTTAGGAAGTCTTACATTTTACGAGTTGGAGGGCGTAACCTGCGCAGGGCACGTGGGACGCTTTCACTGTCAAAGGTTGTCTGGTAGAAAAATATCCTAAGGTCTTCATCTAGTAGAAGCCATACTGGGAAATTCAACAGGCCCTGTAAGATACACTTTTGTTAGAAAATGCCGAAAAGATTCTGTGTCATACATAAATAAACACAAAATTGTATACATAAATACACAAATATTGTAATAATAGGTAAATACTGTCTGAATACATGAAAAAATTTGTATTCTTATTTGAATCTCGGTGTGCTTTCCGACCAGGCATTGCAGTTCTCTCTCTCAATGTGAAGAGTAACTGGTCTTGTATCTGCCTCCTCCTGTATTTTTCTGCGGGCACCTTGTAGTTGGTGCGCTTGCCGGGTCCCTCCTACTGTTCTGCTCTCTGCACAGGCTATGTGCAGCACAGTGATGATGTCACCACTACATTTACATGGTAAAAACTGTGTTTGCAAAGGCATATGGTGCCCATAAAGTGGATTTATACCTTTTTCGGATTTTACCGACTATCTATATATATATATATATATACTGTATCTATATCTCTATATCTATATTGTGAGAATTAGCTTAAAATGTTAGCACATTAGGGACACTTCCACTTGCTTGCAACTTCTTTTTAAGGGTTTCTTTGCCCACTTTTATTGATTTAAACTCACAAGTCCGCACAGGTTTTCGCTTGCAGGGGTTTTCAAACATAAAGTACAGCTTTTTATTCAGCAAAATAACACTTTCAAAGTCTCCCTGACTCCAGGCTGCCTCTTTACCAAAAAGCCTTTCCCACACAGGCTGTATCGAAACCGCTTGCCACACCAGCACCCACACATGTGATCTGCTCCCCAGTCCGCCAGACACACAGACTGGTTCCAGGGTGGAGCTGCTTTGTTAGGAGGCTGGGAGTTCTTAAGGTGCCCATACACCTTACAATTAGGCACGTCCCGATACCGATGCTAGTACCGGTATCGGGGCCGATACAGGGCATTTTCAGGAGTACTTGTACTCCTGAAAATGCCCCGATGCATAGATCAGATACCGGTCCTTCAAATTTTTTTTAACTAGCTTCGGCCAATGACCCCCATAGCCCCTCCCCCGGAATACCTTTCCACCAAACGCAGGCTCCCTCTCCGCTCTGACTTCTCCGGACGGAAGTGTGACAGCATGGCGGGCGGTAAGTGTTCTGTGAGGACAGTCTCTTCTTCCTGCTGGTGCTGGCTGCAGCAGTCTGTGTTCCTTTCACGGACCGCTGTAGCCAGCACAAGAGGGGAGAAGAGACTCCGGCTGTGAAATGCCCCCCTGTATCTTAGCTGCTGCTGCTCCTCCGTGTCCCGTCCTTTTCAACTTGATGAAGCTGTTTGCTTTTGTTGATAGATCACAAAGTGTCAGATGTCCGTGCTCCTTATGTGTAATGCATTCACCTGACTTACACAGCATTTTTCACTCTCAATGAAAGAAGAGAATGTCCGTTCAGTGTGCTCACGGGGGAGGAGAGGAAAGAAGCTGTAAATCTTGCCTTCACACAGAACGGACCTTCTCTTCTTTCATTGAGAGGGAAAACGTCTGTGTACGTCTGGTGAGGGCATTATTAAACACATAAGGAGCATGGACAGCTGACACTGAGATAGATCACCAAAAGCAAACAGTTTCATCAAGTGGAAAAGGAATGGACACTTGTAACAATAGCCAGCCTTGGTCTTGGTCTTGAAAAAGTGGTATCGGGACATCCCTACTTACAGCCATCGCAAGACTTTTGTCTTGTGATGGTTGTAAGGTAATTAAAAAAACGTACGATCTGCCCATCTTGGACAGGCAGATCGTACTTGCGATCATCGCAAGCCCGCCCCGTTGAGGGGCGGGCTTCCCACGACTGCAATGCTGAATGGGCAGTGTGTGCTTGCGCACACGGCCCGTGCAGCATTGGTCTTACAAGCAGGCCACAAACCCGCCGACAATCGTATGAATCTCGGCGGGGTTTTGAGCCTGCTCGTAAGACAAAAGACGTGCAACCGTACAGTAGAAATGGTCGCACGCCTTCCATACACCTGCCGATTATCGTTAGTTCAAGTGGCCGTATCATAAAAAAATAAAGTATTTAAGTGATGAAATTGTGATCCTTATGGACTGTGTGCTTAAAAGTAGGTAGAACATTCAGGAAAATGTAACACTTATAGTTATATAGGTCTACAAAAGATCATAGTAGTCCCCTTGACAATGCTGCATTCTTCTTATCTCCCAGGAACACCATCATCACCTTTTTTTATAGTTAATATTCTTGGTTGTGTGTACAGACATCTGACACTCAGCCCCCTTCCCCTGTTGCTACCTTTCAATCTATGCAATCTATTACAGTCTCCGACATATTAGTCTCTTTATAACCTAGAAGCAGTGACCACTTGAAGAACAAGTGTTGCATTTATCAAACGTTTGCAGAGCTGTGGCCATAATGCAGTGTAAATCTACAACATAGACGTTTGCACACTGAACAGCTCTGCAAACTTTTTTTTAAATACATCCCTAAATAAATGGTTCCTCATGTCTGCAGTAAACTAATGGCATCATGTTTTAAAGATATTTCTCCCAGTTGACAGGAGCTCAAGAACTACTGTTTAATCATAGGTGTTACAGATTTCTAAAACAGAATAATAACACTGCCAAGTACTATGATTTGCCTGGAATATATTATTGCAGATTGTAATTTTACTGAAAGATCCACTAGCAGACAGTTCTTCTCAGTCTAGCCATTGAACATCTGGCTCTTTGTCAAATGTGTCACTTGATTTTAACTTACTGCACCTGTGACATTGTTCTAACTGAAGAAAAATGTCTGCAATTGCAAGTGAGATTTTCTAAGCACAGCAAGTTTTGCAACTGTCAGTACATGTGATTGGAAGCTAAGGGCATTGTTTAACACAAGGGCATACGTTCAGCGGAAGTACAGAAGAAACCCATTCACAAAAAGAAAGCATTTGAATTCTTAATATGACAGTACTAAAATGTATTAAGGAAATGTCATATGAATTTCAGAAAATATATTACATTAGCAAAGATGGAAGCTAAAAAACAAAATGACTAATATTAAATGAAATACCATATTACGTTATACAATTACTTTTTTTTTTTTAGAAAATCTGAAAACACATTAAAAGAAAAATGTGGAAATTACTTTTTAGAGGGCAAAGCAAAAATTAGATTCATTTTTTTTCATGTGTCTTCACACAGAGGTTGCCAGTGTTAAACAATCTGTTGTTGAGATGTAGCCAATGTTTCACATTCCAGAAGAGGTACTGATAAAAAGGGGCAATCCATTCAAAAGTGTTATAAAGGTTGTAAGTTTCTATCCACTCACTAAATATATTTCTTGGGATAGCTCCCTGCCATAGTCCCTGGCTCTCTTAGCATCCACCTCGGAGCTTTTGGTGTTCCTACACAACTTTGAGCATCGCCATTCCTCCAGGTGCATTCTCCATAAGATACCACAATAATGATGACCTCCTTGTAATAGCCACAGTAGATACGCAGGCTTTTGAACCTGAGCACATACATTTTGCCACTAAACTCCCAAAGAGACATAATAAATAATTAGGTGGATCGATTTTCCAAAATTTGCTAAGGGATATAGTATCAGTTTTGGCTGGTATAACCCTTTAAAGAGTATGTATAAAAACCGTCTCCTGAAATTGCCCTTTCATCCTTGTTACCAGGCTCCCAGAAAAGCCAAAAAAATTATTTTTGAGACAGCTATTAGCTGCAACCCCTCAAGTTATTCCTATTTTTTTTTTTTTTAAAGATTGTCACTCTTCCGCTTTCTCTTTCGATTAGCCATTTCAAACATATTATGTGGATGGAGGAACTTCTTGCCTCCGATACTGACACATCTACTAGATTTATGGCCCAGTGGACCATGTGGCGGCATTATTCAACTTCGGATGCGCCTTAATATATTTTTGTAATCTTTTACCCTCTCCCACGATTTTTTTTATATTTCTTCTCTCATGAATATGATTTTCCAGGGTCCCTCCTTTCTCTAACTACTCCCTTGTTCTGTTTCTCTCTTCTCTTGCTTTCTTTATTCTTGTTTTTCTCCTCTCCAGGCTTTTCTACTCCTTATTTACTGTCGTTTTTTCCTACACAAACAATCCATAATGCTCAGTTTTCGTATTATGACAATAATTATGTTCTTTTGCTTGATTTCAACATGATTTTCTCCTCACTAATGTACATCATATGTCACAATATCAGTCATGAAGTGAGATTTGTTTTCTTTGAATCTTCCAAATCGATTACATGCAAACTGATTTATTGCACGCTGTTTATCTGTTCCACTAACATGTCATGGTCTTACATTTTGCTGCCATTGATGGACCATTGTTTTATAATTGCTAAGCGTAATGTTTGAGTTATCTGTCATTTCCGTGAGCGTCGAACAGTGTGCTGCCTGCCGGGGGCTCGTGTTCGACACATTGCGGAACGAATTGACAGATTACTAGATGGGGTTGGGCACGACCCCGTTGTCATGGTGCACATCGGCACCAATGACAAAATAGGAGGAAATTGGAGTGTCCTTAAACAGGAGTTCAGAGACCTAGGTGCTAGGATGAAGGAAAGGACCTCCACGGTAGTTTTCTCAGAGATACTGCCGGTGCCAAGAGCCACTCCGGACAGACAGCGCGAGTTGAGGGAGCTTAACAAGTGGCTCCGGAGCTGGTGTCAGAAGGAAGGTTTTGGTTTCCTGGAGAACTGGGCTGACTTCGCAGTCGGCTATCGGCTCTTCAGCCGAGACGGGCTGCATCTTAATGGGAAAGGTGCAGCATTCCTGGGAGGGAAAATGGTAGAAAGACTGGAGGAGCTTTTAAACTAGAAAGTGGGGGGG